TCTTTTCCCTACTTTCCTTTCTCTCTCTAATTGAATTATAAAATTTTTCACCGGGTCTGATGTGCATGGCAATTTTGGTGAGTTTTCGAGTATGTTTAGGGCCTTAAAAATGCGTGTCTTTAGCACGAATAATAATAATAATCCGAGCAGTTCCAATAGGGTCTTCGCACCTTTTTGGGTGCTCAGACCCTAACTAGAAACACAGAACAGAGTCGCTGAGCACCTGAAGAGTTTCATGGAAGTTTATATAAATGCTACTTTACATTATTATTTAATAGGAGTTGTCATATCATGACAGTATCTGAGCAGGAACTTCTGAAATCAGACTTGCTCAGAGCAGCAGCTTTGACATACGTGTTAAAAGTCAAAGACACACTGAAGCTGTTGTGGCAGCTTCTGACGGCCTGACACTTTTCAGTTTGTGGTTTTTTCTTCTTTAGTTTGTCACCTGCCTGTAGAAAGAAAAGCTGACCAAGGACGTGTGGAACCGCTTTGTTTTTTTTCACTTTAAAAGGCTTTCAGGCAGAAAACAGCCAATTACCAACAGTACAGACACCAGCTGTAGCGCACTGGTCCTGTCTGCTCAGGTGTTTGTTCTCAGCTTCCAACTTCGGGTAGTACAAAGTAACTAAGTACTTTTACTCACATACTCTCGTGCAAATTTTAGGTTTGTAGCTTTGTACTTCCGCTCCACAACACCTCAGAGGCAAAATTTGCATATTTTACTTCGTCTGACAACTCAAGTTGTCTTTACTTTCCAGATGACATTTTCTTACATCTCCAGTGTGTGGGACATTTTGAATATTTGCGATGAACTGAAGGATGAAGTGTTCTTTTATGAGTTGAGAACATTCTTCTGTGTCTTTAGATATATCATCTATTTTTTAAAAACCGTCCTGGATTAGCAGGATTCATGCATGAAGATGAACCTCCTAAGAACCGAACTCTTGTTTGATGTGCATTTATAACTGGAATAACAAATAGAAAGAAAATAAAAAGTATACATAAAAGATATAAATAAATAAATAAAAACCAAATAATAATAAAAAATATATCCTGAAATGTGATGTCCACCAGGACGCCAGGTCTTAAGAGGTTAAAGCTGAAGCTTTTCTCAGCTTAGAAGAATAAGACTTTATAAAGAAACATGACTCTCACAAGCAAATGCTGCAAACATGTGATCTTACAGATTTTAATGCTTCACTGGAGATTGAACTACTCAGCAGGAGTTTAACACTTACAGCTGCAATATATAACATGTAGCTGTAGTATTAGAATAAATAATAAAAACACTGGCAGGAACCATTTTACTGCACAATGACTTTTACTTTTCTTACTTTAAATACAGTCATCCTCAGATGTGTTCATAGCCTCCCATTACTGAAGAAAAAAAAAAACAGCTGTCACTGAAATAAGTTGACAAAAGTAATAATAAATAAACATTTAATGAAAATCATTATTTTGAATTGTGGTTCGACAGAAATATTTCAAACCAATATTTAGTTGAACAACCCTTTGAGCCAATTACTGCAATCAGGTGTTTTCTGTGACTCTCAGTCAGACTTCTGCACCTGTTGACAGGTGTTTGGATTTCACTGCCCATCATAAAGTGCTCTCATTTGTCCAGGACAGATTTTTTTTTTCCAATTATTCTTTTCAACCACAATTCAAAAGCAATGTCTCATTTCACTAAATTATAATTTAGCAAATTTTTATTTATTATTACTTTTTTCAGTTTCTAGTTATTTGAGTGATTGTTGTGATTTTTGTCTTTTCTTTAATGGAAGGATGTGAATACATTACACTGTAGAGTGGCTTCTCGCGCCCTCTGCTGGTACGGTTAGGGTATTGCAGTTTGAACAAATGCAAAGTAAAATAAATAAAATGACCTAAAATAAAGTTAATCACAGTCATAGAAAAACACATTTTCAATCTTACAAGGGAACATGAAATTATTGTAGACTACAAAACAGCACTGGGAAAAAAATAAAATATTTGTTTATTTTCTGATTAACGTCTTCAAAGTGTTGCTGTCCGGTGGTTTCCATGGATACCGTAAACTTAGTGCGGTGGAGCTGTCCTGAACATAAAACCATTAAAGAGAGGAAACAAAAAATTAATAATAAACTACCACTCTTATCATCTCATACAGGCGACGGAATATAAAGTAATTCGTGACTGGAAATGTCCTGGAGCTTGAACAACCACGGTTTACCGTTTTTACCGGGATATGCGTTTCGGGATGTGACGGTAAGAAAGCAGCCGGTTACCGTTAACGTAAAGTAAACGTTTAAAATGTGACGAGAGGCTTTAACGTAATTTTTTGCTGAATTTAGCTGTTGTTCGTGAGAAGACGTGTTGTTGTTTCTCTGTCATGAAAATGTCACGAGTGCATTCCTTCAGTCGTTTGGTCGAAAGTTCTGCTAGCTAATGCTAATGCTAGCTACCAACTCCATTAGTATTGTTGTTGTTCTATCGGTCTATCCATTGGTTATGTCTGACCGGTCTATCCATTGGTTATGTCTGACCAGGCTCTTGAGCAGTTCTTAGATTTTAATCTGACAACTGCACCATTTTCAAGTTACTTCAGAATAAAATTTATCTAAAATGTGGGACACTGTGCGCCAGATCAGTGGTTCTCAAACTAGAGGTCGGGACCCTCATGGGGGCCCCAAGATAATCTCAGGGGGTCGCCAGATCATTGTAAAAAAAAAAAAAAAAAACATAAATAAATAAAATAAAGCCTACATTTATCACAATTAAAAGTGTATAATTCTTCCCACTCCTTTTGCGGACTTGTTAATATCATGATGTGATTATGCCATATTATTATTCTTTTTTGCTCTTTTTAAAATTATTTTATTTTGTTTTTATATTTTTTTCCCCTTTCATTTGTTTGATATAAAATCAGGGAAAGTTCCTACAACATCCACTAATACTACCACATTTTCTAACAATGTTTAGAATTTGAAAAAGATCTAATGGTGCCACTGTATCTCACATAATATCCTCCTGAACGGATGGTTCACATAATAGTTTGACTATAGTGCACGTCCATTCGTGTCAAATGTTTCATGCATTTAAATTTAGATTTCTTGTTGTGAATTAAGATAAGTTCATGTATATCCTCCTCATTCATCCTTACCTGCAGAAGTCGTCCTTCCATCGGCCTCAGACGCTGGACTTTAAGAATGGCTTTCGACTGGCCCGTCGCCCCACCGTGGGCATTGGCCAGGATCCTCTTGTATCAGAGCAGTTAACTCAACAGGAGATCAGCGAGTTGTGCTTTCAGACACCAGATGTGACTTACGGCTCCTCTCACCAGGCAGCATGTGAAGACTTCATCCCAGCTCACGTGGCCTTGGATAAAAAGGTCTGATAACACCTTGAATTGTAGTCTAGGTCCAATTAACTCCAATTAACTCACTGTCTGTTTTCTATTCACCATCTGGTTGTCTGGTAGGTGCTGTGCTACGATGCATACTTTGTGGAGGACATCCTGTATTCCCCTGAAGAGGAGTACCGTGTGCGCCCTGTTGTCATCTACTACTACCTCGAGGACGACACGATGTGCATCATCGAGCCCACGGTGGCGGGGTCTGGGTTATGGCAGGGGATGAGGCTCAAACGCCAACATTTTCCCAAGAATGAACGCGGAGAGCATTACCTGTGGAAAGACCTGAACCTGGGCGTGGACCTGGAGGTGTATGGAGTCAAGTACCACATCACACACTGTGATGCCTTTACACAGGTAAAACACTGAGTGGTGTGAGCGTGCTCCCTGTGAATGCACCAAGGCGATAGACTCCTGCAAACATGCTGTCTGTGTGTGTGTCTCTGATTCATCCTACAGAAGTTCATGGAAAGTGAAGGCATCATTCTGAACGACCCTGAGCCAGTGCCAGTGGATCCTTACAGCAAACGTCGCAGTCTCCCTCAGCCTCAGTACACTCCACCCTCCACATCTGACCACATGCATCAGTTTCCCACCACGGATGGTGAGGTAAATAAGAGTCCCTTGATTCCAAACTCACTGGAAAACCGTGACAAACACTTTATCTGGCCGGCTACAAACCGAGAAGGACACCTTTGGTCAAACAGTAGATAAGTCCCAGACAGAGAAATGCAGCTTTACAAGAGAAATGTTTATTGCGACAAAGAACACATTTGACAGACAATGAACCTGAGAGAATCGTGCGTCTTAAATCACAGGTCAGTGACGCCAACCTCATGTCATGCCAGATGTTATATGATAGTTTGATCACCATGAAGGGAGGTACGAGCATCATTCACTGGCTTAGCTACATAAATAGTTTTTAGTCAGTTTTAAGTTTCTGTTACTGACCAGGGACCCCACTAAACTACTCGTTTATGACTTTAAAGCCATTGAAACTTTTTTAAAAGCCAGCCAAGAACTTCAAACCATCTGGAGTTTTAAGGTCTGGACCATGAGGTTGTAGTTTTTCAGCGAGATGTAGTGTTTCGACGTAAAGTTTATCTCTATTGGAGTAAGACGAGAGTGTTGTGTGTTTCAGCAGAACGCTTCTTCACACTTCGTTCTGATGCTTCACGTTAAAACACGTTTAGTCAAAAAGCTCTACACAGAAAAAGCAAAAGAGCTCCACTGATGCAGAGCTTTGCTGATGCCTTGTAATTCCCTCATCCCTGTTCAACCTCAAAAATAAACACTGTAAGACTTAAATGTGATCTTAAAAAGTGATTATTTGACTGCAGGTGTTCGTGCCTTGAGCCGTTGTATCCGACTACCAACCTTTTTTTTTTGGTCAGGTGCTCTGTTTCGCTGCCCTGTGGGATAACACTGACTCTCTGTACGGGGAGACCAGGCGCGTCACCATCAAGTATTACCTGGAGGACGACAAAGTGGAGATCAGAGAGGTCGAGGAACCCAACAGTGGCCGGGCTCCCTTCATAATGCGCAGAAAGAGGTTACCCAAAAAGTTCAAGCCAGGTACGATGCTGTGCAGTAGAGCAGCTGTTGAACAGATGCTTTCATTGGGTGCCTTTGTGAGTGACGTCGTGTTACAGAAAGTGCAGAGAACGCAAAACTGATGCACAGAAAATTGCTCCACATTTGAGTATTTTTGGCATTTTGTGTAATTCACAGTAATCACATGATACACGTAATGCACAGAGATGAAATATGTTGTGCTGTGCTGTGTTTTCTAAACAACAAACGCAGAACAATAAACGTATTTTCTTAGTATCTGCTACATCATTGTACTCTTTTGTTTTTGTTTTTTTTTGGTTTCAGTGCCTTTTCCCAGCTGTGTGATGGAGACCTCAGAGAAGGACGTAGAGGAGTATTACTCACCCAAAGACTTTCAGTTAGGCCAAACGATTAAGCTACTGGGCCGCTGCTTCCTGTTGTACGACTGCAATCGCTTCACTAAAGAATATTACCAGAAGAACCACCCTGACATGGAGCTGAAGTCCACGGAGCTGAAATCCACGGAGCTGAAATCAACGGAGCTGAAATCCACGGAGCTACCAAAGAAGGAGGAAAAGAAAAAGGTGAGAAACTGAACCGTATTTTATTCCGTCTGTTGTTTTCCTCATGATTTTCATTACATTTTTATTTATTGTTACTTTTTTCAATTTCAACTTATTTCAGCTGTTCTCGTCCTTCTTTAATGGGAGGCTATGAACACATCTGAGGACGCCTGTATGTATTATTTCTTCTCACCACTTACCCTCCATGTTGCTGATCTTTACAGGAGATTCCTCCCTATAATGGTTTTGGTTCACTTGAGGACTCTGTCCAGAACTGCTTGTTTCTGACTCCTAAGCCTCCCAGAATGGATTACTTGAAGATGCTGGAGAACGATGGAAAAGTGTTGCACTACAGCGCCGAGCTGGTGAGGGAACGTTGGACCGTGTGTTTCTCTGCTGCCTGTTCTGTAAAAGCTGCATGATGCTGATTGTGCAACAGGTCACAACACTGCCAGTAAACTTTTCCATCTAGTGATTAATATTTGAGCCGCTGCACCAATCAATCAAATTTTATTTATTTAAGGTGATCATTTGAGGATGGCTCGTCACAAACCAAACTACATGAGCAATTTCCCTGAGGTCTTGTACCGAAGGGATTAATAAAGTTTTATTCTTCTAATTCTAATTCTAACATTTAAAGCTATAAGCAAAACATATGATTGATTCCCTTGCTGAAGCTGTCCTATGGTTTATCCCAGGACTCCCAGAATCCTAAGGACGAAGGCCGACGCTTCATACTGAGCTACTTCCTGTCCGATGACATGATCAGTATTTTTGAAAAGACCACCCGCAACTCCGGCATCATGGGTGGAAAGTTCTTGAAAAAGACCCGCATCCCCAAACCGGGCTCCACTGTGGAACATCCGGAGTTCTATTCACCTGCAGACTTTGCTATTGGAGCCACTGTGGAAGGTAGTTTCTGTAGTTCACCAGCCTGTGTAGCTGTGTTCTCATGTGTCGGCTTGTCTGGTGTTTCTACAGACTTACACGTGTATCTGTAAAAACACACTGAGCTGTACGTGACATTACAATCATTTACAACAGGGTTCTATCAAGACATAAAACCTCAGCTCACTGCATCTTTTCCCCTCTCTCTCTCTCTTTCATAGTTTTCAGTCACCGCTTCGTGTTGACCGACGCTGACCGCTTCGTGCTCACCTACCTGGAGTCCATCTCGAGCCGGATCCCTTCTCAGACGCTCGACTCTTTGCGACAGAAGTTTGGTGTCGGGATCTCAAACCAGCAACCAGTTGACCAAAACGGTAAAAGTCAAATCAGAAGTCAAAATCTCGACTTCTATGAATGCAAAGCGACTAATGCCCACACCTTCTGCCTCTTTCTTTGTCAGGAGAAGCTGCAGAACCTTCTTCATGATGTGAGGAACTCCTGCAGTTTTAATGCTCCAAGTGTTGCTTCTTCAACGATAAATTCAGTGTAAATCAAAACCTTTGCTTAGTTTCTCTTAACATAATAAACAGTGGAATTCAGGTAAATATTCTGCTTAATGTCAAGACAACCCTTCGCTGTACACATGTCAGGGGTTTGCCTGTAACCATGACATAGTTTTATCTCAAATCTGTGCCCCCAAAGCAGGAAATCCCACTAAACGCCTTTATAACCAGCTGAAACGCATCTGTGCTGAGTGATGAGCCAGAAAGTGTAAAAAACAAAAGGATCATCTGATTTTCACAGTTCAGTCCTTTAACGTATTATGTGTGATGCGCTGTTCTGAAATCTAATCTGAAATATTGATGATCTTACACCAAAATCACTGTATTCTACGTGCCTCATTTAAAAAAATTACAGGACACAAACCACTGGCAGTAACCTGATTCTGTAAAGAACAGAGCTGATCCTCAGGAACTAAATACCCACGAGTTACTCAGCTGTGACCAGCGACAAAACAGTTCAGGACTTTTTGGCTAAACTGCAGAAACTTTATTTTATTTTTTATTGCTTAATAATTTTGGCATGACTATTGTGGATTTTGCCTTTTCTTTAATGGAAGAGTGTGAATACATCTGAGGACGGCTGCACCTTTAGCTGATAGTTCGAGTATTTTCAATGTCGTATGAGTACTTTTATGTCTTCCACTACTGTCAACACCACCAAACTCACCAGCAGCCTCGTTTCTTTTTACTTTTCCTCCAGTCTCTCCATCACATCTCTTAGTTTAAAATTAAAACATTTTAAAGACATCTGCATCTAATCACAGCCACTTAGGGGAAGCAGCTGCATTTGTGCTGCCTCCAAATTAGTCTGAGAACACATTAAGCTGATTTTTTCTTCATGACATTTGATAATGAAAGTGGATCTGCCTGTACAGCAGCATCACCATCACACCACACAGTGCTGATAGTGTAGTTTTTTTTTATTTTAGGAAGTGAAAAAAAAAAAAAAAAAGAGGGTAAATGCATTGCAGAAACAGAACACAGTGTCCAGCATACAGTGTACAAGATGGTTACAAGCATGCCAGGCAGTCCCACGCTTGTATCTCGCGGTATCTACAGACCCTGTCGGGGGGTTGTCACAGCATCGAGAGTTTTCAATGACGTCGTTTCCAAATCGCCCACGGTCCACCGGCCGGCGAGCACGGAGGCCGCGGGACTTTTCCAACGGGATGCAGATGTGTACAGTTGTGCAAACTAGCAGCGAGAATCTCAAAACAGTTAAAAGTGGTCTGAGCCAATAACTGAACATCTAAGAGGCAGTTTTTTTTTTGTTGTTGTTTTCAGCTCTGGTGTGACACAGAATAATTCAGCCATGAAGGGAACGAATGCATCAGAGAAATCTAAACAGGCCGAAGCTGACGACACTTTGCCTGCATGATAAACTGCATTAAAAACGAGAACCAACTTGCAGAAGCCGACTGCACGCGTCCGTTTAGACACGGAAAAGCTCACACGTGTTCACGAAACCCTGTTGACGATCATCTGTGCGTAAACACCAAAGCAACTCAACAGACGACTCGTCATCGCCGTGACCCTGATCCATAAGTGCTGCGATGTTCTACTGGTAGTACAGTCGAGTGACAACGCCCCCCTTTTTCCACTGAAAACAACAGCGTGACTTAAAGAAAGAGAGCAAGTAAAAGCATACATTCAAACAACCACCGGCTTTAGTGCTGGAAGTGAAGTATAGTACACACTCAGGAAAAGGTACACAAATAAATAGCTGGAGGTTTTCTTCTCTTTTCTTTTTTTTTTTTTGAATATTTCATCTGGAGCTCCTCAGATTGTGCTGCAGCTGCATGACTGTGTTGTAGATAATTACAGAATTGTAAAATGGACACTGCACCTGTTACATTATTAGCTTGATGCATTTCAGAGTCTTGGAGAAAAAAAAAAAAAAAAAAAAAAAACAATACAAGGTAAGAAGATGCCTCAATCGCTGCTGGAGAGAAAGTTTAAAGGACCAGACAACCAGACTTCACCTTACAACACCATAAGACACACACTTCAGTATGCCGGGACACGGAGAGTTTTCATACAGACGACTATTAAACAGTTTGAAGTAAAAATGTTTAAAATACAATTTTAACACTGACTCAAGGAAAATACTGCTGTTCCTTTTATTCTGCTTACCTCTAGCACTTCGTCACTACTTCAGAACTGAAAGAAATAAGCCAAACGGTGAAAACATTTGTATTTTCCTTTAAGTTGCTTTAACTAGGATTTCCTCTTTTAAAAGAGAAGCAGATGGCTGTATTGGGTGGGAGGAGAGAAAAAAAACAAAAACAAAAAAAGAAATTGAAAGCGACAACCACTTAGTGGCAGTTTTTTTCCCCACCAGAAGATACAAGGACAGGCTGCAGGATCTGCAATCAGACCAAGGCTTCCTCCTCTGTCCTCACAAAGCTTTCCTGCAACTCTGAAGTGGAGCAAAAGCTAGTCCTGTTGTAGAGGACGAGGAGGGATGAGAGAAGGCCCGGTGAAGTCCTCCGCTATGAGGAAACCGTCACCGGATTCAGAGAACCGTTCCGGCTGTAGAACTTTGAGAAGGCCTCTTCGAGAACGGATGCGAGTCGTGGCTGATCGCCCTGAAACCCAGAGACAGAAAGGTGAGACCTGAGCCGTTACTCATGCTGACAACAGGACAAGTTTGTAGAAGGATGGACTCGTCGTACCTCGCTGATGAAGCCCAGCTGAACCAGCTCCACAGCCAGCTCCTGCACGTTCTCATCTGAACCAAAACACAACACTTGAATGGTGACGAGCTGTTAACACATCTGGGCTTTCTGTCACTTCACGTTCGACCAACTAATAAATGACATGTCTGTAAAATATTTAAGCTTATCACGACTTAGGTGAAGCTCTGAAACCACACAGTGAGACACGGAGGTTTCAACACAACTTTAACAAATACAGTCATGACTCGATAATCCGACACTAAATGTAAAACCTTCTTTTATGTCGGATAGCAAGGCTGTCGGACTGTCAAGACGGAGGTCGCGATACAAGGAGGGCTTGATGCTGGAAGGCTCATTAGTTGTTCATAGTTGTTATAATAACTAGTAGGGCTGGTCCCAATAGCACTTTCTGGTCTCTGGATATTCAGGCCCAATTAATGATGAATACCAGAATATTCGCTGCAGTCGGGGGACACTTCCACCCCGGGGCAGCGCTCTGACGGGGTGGAAGTGTCCAGAACACACAGGCAGTACTTGGCTGCTGATGCTAGTTTAGTTAGCGCTCACACTTCTGTTTCCTCCATCTGCGTTTACTTCCATAAACACTGAGCACGCTCACTGCGTGTGACGTCGTCGTGTCCTCTTGTGTGCATGCGGGACACTTTTGGGTCGTATGAAGTTCACACAGCAGATCACATACAAGTCGCATTGAACTGGAAACGTGAAGGAACTCACAAAGAAATCGGATTTCACAAAAAAATCCTCATTGAGCATCAAGTCCTGCAGTGTGAACGTAGCCAATCTGTGGGATTGTTCAGTCAGATAATACGCCGTCATCCTGATTGGTGACATTAAATGTCATGTCGGAGTCAGAATCTGGGGCTGTCGGTATGATAAGGCTGTTTTTATGGGTTCTGTTCGTGTCAGATAGCAGGTTTAGGATTGTTGAGGGTCGGATTATCGAGTCACGACTGTAGTAAGATTTCAGATGATGAAATGTGAAAGCATGGTGCAACGTAATTCAAAAAATAAGACACTTACTTGGTAACAAATCACAGCTCAAATGCCTGTTCAGTTTATCCTCAAGTTTCAGCAGCAAGGTCAGCTGGAAGCAGAACAAAACACATGCGTTCAAAACCAAACAACGTTCAGGTGTCAAAGCAAAGACTTCATCCCTCAGCAGCAGCAGGACTGAGACTCACATGGTGCTTCGTTCCTTCTTCCACTGGCTCAATGTTACACTGCATCTGAAGGACCTGCAAACAGGAAAACTGTTTAACACGCTGACAGTGACCAGAAAAAAATGAAGTGATACATGCAAATGATTCAGTGAAAGCAAAGGCTGAAAAAGAGGTTGTAGATTACCACCAGTCTGTAACTAGTAACCAAAGGGGACCTCGTGGTGATCTCTAGAGAACAGTAACGTGTGTTTGTGTATTCTCTAAATCCCTAGAATGCTGCTTTCAGAAAATCTCATCCTTTGGGGTTTGTTGCTTCTCCCTTTAGCCGCGTCTTTATAAATGTGAGTATTATTTTTAAATATCTGACCTACTTTGTGATCTGTGTGATTCATTTCTGAAGTGGAAGCAGCAGCAGCAGCAAGTAGACAAAACAAATAAAACAGTGCTTCTCCTCTTCTTGTATGGTTTTCTAAATGTACACTGCGGCACAAAGTTATCCGTCTGAGGTCCGTTTTCAGTTCTGACCTTCCTGGTCTCAAGCTCTGCAGGTTCTGGAGTCGGGGTTTTCACTGAGGGGGGAACGATGGGCGACTTCACGGCCTCCTGCTGGGGTTGCTGTGGACACGGGATCCCGAACGCAGTCAGAGGGTAGATCCCGTTCCTGACAGACCAGAGACACAAAACAGCACAGCTTCAGAGATTTAACGGGACTCCTCTTGTTAAAATGTGGCAGCAGCAAACTGATTATAAACCTCTGTGGTGTTTATATTTGCAGATATCTAACTGAACACAACCACTGTTTCCCATTTCAGTCAGCTGGTTCAGCTCACTGGCAGCAGCTCTAAATTCACCTTCCCCTCCTAATTTTGCCAGTTCATCCAGGTGTTTAATCCAGAAATCAGCAGTGAACTAGTTTGAAGGCTGCTGATTCTTACCTCACGTCTTCTAGGAACTTGTCCAGCTCAAGTGCAGGAAACTGGGAGAGCCTGATGCAGAAGACAAACACGTGTTCACACAGTTAGATCACTTTAGAAACTATAAAAACCTCTGAGACAAAGACTGCATTTAAACCATATGAGGATAAGCACAGGTCCAGACAGACGACGCTCGTTAATGTTAGTGTTTTATGATGCGTTTTGTAACTGAACACTCACTTCATCTGAACTCCGTCCTTGGCCTCAACGATTACCAAGTTGGGGTCCATGTTCTTTGTCATTTCTTCTAAAGCATTTTCTGGAATCATGTCTGCAGATAAACAGAGACGACTGCTGTCAGATAAGAACACTCACCAGTGATGGTTATTCTTCAAAGCTAAACAAATCGCTGTGGATTTCTGTGACTGTGCACCGACTAAGCTGCTTCCTTCAGTGGTATCCTGTGACTTTTGCAGACTGATACTAAACAATCCTTTCCTAATAACACGTCACACATTATAAATACAACCTGATTTTGAAAAGAACAGAAATAATAATTCCAAAGCGTTTATATTTTAGCTGATAGCTGCACAGTGAGAGATAGAGAACAACACCAGTTTGAACAACAAGGGAGTAACTGCAACTTCAAACTGAAAACCAACGAGTGTGTTGGACTCACGCTGGTGGCTGACGATGCAGTGTGCAGCCAGCAGCTTGAGTAAGGGCACCTCAAACAAGGCCTGGTGAAACAGCAGCTCCCTCGCTGTGGGTCGCTTACTGGGGTCGACCTCCAGACACTTCTGGATGAACTCCTGAAAACGTGCGAGAAAAGAAAAGACGTCAGGCTGTGAATTCCTCTCTGAAAGAGCCGTGAGCTTCAGACGCCGGCTTCTCCCGTCCTCACCCGTTGCAATGGGTCCTCTAGGGACTGAATGGCACTGTTTATGGCTTCTTGAGACACATAAGACGAATCTCCATTACTCTGGATTTCCAACACAGCCATCTGAGGACGAGTGGACACAGAGGTGATTAAAACACAAGACTTAAGTCAACAGCAGCCGCCGTCATGTAACAAGAGACATGATCTGTCAGGTTGTTCATTACATGCATGTCTCCTTCCTACCAAAAGCCAACGATAACAATCACGCTGATTTTGTGAAACTGAATTTCCAAACAAACAGCACAGTCTAGAGCTGCCATAACGGACACCTTTGTTCAGAACAGAACGACACACACACCATCCGTTCAACACAAAACTGGTGTTCAGGCAAACTAGGCCAACTCTAGTTTGTTTTCGTGAAACCCCAAAAACAGAACAAGCGTGTGTGTGTGTGTGTGTGCATGTGTGTGTGTGTGTGTGTGTGTGTGACAGCTCGGAGCAGAACAACGAGTCCTCTCACCTCTAAGGCGCACATTCCAAAGGAATAGATATCCACGGCTGTGGTAACATTGGCAACAGCTGAAAGCAGACGAGAGCTAATCAATATCACAGAAACACAACCTCAGAGGTATCACAGACCAGCGATACGCGGTCAGAACCTCACCTCCGTACTCTGGAGCAAAGAAGTGAAGGCTCTTCTGCTCTTCCCGACAGGTTTTCACGTGGTTGTTAATAGTGTCCGGAGCAACTGAAGCAGTACAGAGAAAGTACTTGTTAATAATAACAGTAAAAACAGCCACTGAGGGGCATAACAGCGGCTCTGTGCTGTTCTGATCTCATTGATGTTTCTGCTTTAAGTGATCTGAGGCCCACCTGAGCCGATCTTGATGAGGCCATTGTGCTGGATGAAGATGGTGTCACAGGTCAGGTTGCCGTGAATGATGGGAGGTTCACATGAGTGCAGGTAGCTGGAAACAAAGGAACCAGGGTTAAAGACAAAGACCACACAAGACCAACACAGCTGACTTCAGGAGACAGATCCTGGTATTTGGGCTCCTGTCAATGCCCCACAACACAATGTATTCAGTCAAGCTGAGCTGCTTACAGGAATTGACCAGACTAACCTGAGGGCAGACAGTATCTGAGTGCACCAGCGCTTCCAGGCCTGTCAAACACAGAGAAGCAGGGAAAAAAGAGGTTAAACAGGATTTTTTTGTAATCCTCTGTCCTGACTTGTCAGCTAGTTAAGTAACAGCAGAGCTCCTCAAACCTTTTCATTCATCGTCTTGTGGTTTTTCTTGGTCTTTTTCAAGAACTGCTTGAGGCTTCCTGAGGACATGTATTCAGTGATGAAAATGACCTGCAGACAAAAAAAAGCATTGAAAATAAACTAGCATGAAGGCCATGATACTCTTCTTTATGTGACATAGAGAAAACAGGGATTTTGGAGACGGTCTCGTACCCTCGCTCGGTTCTCTTTGACATCTGCCCAGTACTTGTGGAACTTGACGATGTTCAAATGCTCCAGCTGGATCAAATTGTCGAACACGGCTTTAACTTTTTCCTTTGGAAAAGAAAGAAAACAGAAGATGTTACTGATGTTTTCAACAGTGATGGGATTTACAGGTTTACTGCTAAACAGGGGAACAGTTCGGCTCATGTTAGCTCATTATGTCTAAACAAGTGGCGATGGAGCCTGACCTGTAAGTGCAAGATTAAAATGCAAATTCCACAATGTCAGTGAGTGTTCCTGGACCCTCTGAAGCCCAAACAGATTCTGGATGATTATTTGCTCCCATCACATTTTTATTTACTGTGGCTCATTGTTTACTGCAATATGAAGTCTGACATCTCCATGGAAACAGAACAACCACAGCTAGAAGTACAGAGAACTCAAAAAGGTCTTCAGCAATGACACTGTTATGATGCCATGAATCATATAAAATGAAGAAAGCAGAAATTTTATGTCTTTTATTATTTCAAAAAAATGAAGATATTTTTTTTCCAAGCTCTCACAGGTGATACCAATAACTAGAACAAAAACAGCGTCTTTTACTCCTGACATTTGTAATTTGCTTCCACACTTGCCTCCTATCAGCTTCGTGTAAACACTGCCTGCAGTTCAACCCTCTTCAGCTGACTTGTACCTGAATGCTTGTCACTGTGACCGCCGGCTGCAGCTCAGTCACTAATCAGCTCTTTAAATGTGAATATTTTCTAATAATGAAAATAGTTGTAGCCCTAAAACCAATCTTCATGTAACCAAA